TTTTTTTTTCCTAAAACATAGAAAGAAACAATATAGTGAACCTGCTGCTACTGGGATAGAGCCTTTGAGATCCTGAACTGCTTTGTTGCCCAAGATGGCTTCCCAAACACCTTTATCACATGAAACTGATACCACCATGGACTGAAAAGATGGTTCTTTTTGCATCATAGAGTAAACATCATGAAATTTAGCAAATCCAGGAGATTGCAGCATATGGGGCCCATAACTATTGGTTGGGCTGAGGCTGTGAAGCCCATTGGGCTCAGGTCCAGAGGTTTGAAGGCCTTGCATGAGCCTGAGTATAAAATCATAGATTCATAGTATACAATCAAATCATAGTTTCTGGTTCAATTTTACTTACTTACTAGACATATATATGAACTAAGTCAACCACTCCAATACAAAGAGACTGAGGTTAAGTGTGCCTAAAAGAGATTTAAGGTAGATTAGTCTTATTTTTTTATTGTAACATTCGCTGTTAGATACTATTTTTTTCTTACACCGAGTCTAAGAGTATCTTTTTCCACAGCCACATTGGATTTTATACCTTTCGTATTAAAAATCATCTCCAATACAAACGAAATAAGAATTGATTTAGATGATGTGATGTGAGAAAATGAATCAAATCTCTACTTTGACCCAGTATTAAAAATCATCTCCAATACAAACGAAATAAGAATTGATTTAAATGATGTGATGTGAGAAAATGAATCAAATCTCTACTTTGACTCATTTTGAGACGTATTTTCCCACAAAAAAGATATCATTTTAACTCGATTCAAAGTGGTCTATTTTTCTTTGAATTTGGAAGATCGATTCAAGACTTAATTCTATTACTATGATAACGACTCGAATCACTATGGATGCTCTACAGAAATATATCGACATTTACAATTTTTCAATATCTTGCAGTCTAATATTAACATTTGATTTGTAAATGGACTCCAAAATCAGACCTTATTCACCACCTAAAAATAATTATCACCAAAATACAATCAAAGGAAGCAAAACACATAAAAATAATAATAATAAAAAAAAAAATGAATCTGTTGACCTATGGAGATCAAGAATGGCCCGATCAACTTCAGCCCGAGTTGGGGCCGACCCAAAACTGCCATCGCCGTTATCATGGGAGATTTGTGGGGTTCCTCCACCGTCAGCCGCCGGTGGTGAGACTCCGGTGTGAAAGTTTCTGGCGGCGTCGATGAACGGCGGCCTTGTGGCGGAGGAGATGGGTTTGCCGGTGAACATGAAGCCTCCACCCATGTTACGTGTGTTTAGTGGAAAGTAGGAGATTCACAGTGATCAATGATGATTTTTACTATGTGTTTCTTTTTGGTCAAGCAACGCAATTTTCTATATTTTCTCTTTTTAATTTACTACAAGAGATTATATATATATATATATTAGTTCTATTTGGTCAAAATCAAAATGCAATTAAGTCAAAATAATGGAAATACAAGTTATGTACTTAAAAAAAAAAATAATAATAAAAAAAGAAATTGTAATGATTATTGAATTTCACGTGTTTTCTATATTTTTAATAGGTTCTAATACATTTCTTATGTGATCATTTATATATCATTGTTGTGATTCTTATAAATTTTTGTTAAGGTTATAATCGGATCCCCGATCACACTTCTCTTATTAAAAATGTATTCCAAACAAAATTTCTCTTATCTAAAATCACACTTCTTTTTTTAAATGAAAGTCAATGTTTTTAAACCAGACCACGTGGATCGACCTGGGCTATCATTTGGGTCATCAGGTCACCGGTTCAATTACCCTGTTATTGTTTCAATTGGTGAATCGAGTAATTAATTATAAGAATTGAAAATTATTGATATGTATATTTTATACATTAAAGTGTTAATAATGGTGTATCTCATAATAAATAATTACTATACATATATATATATATAAATTTATTTTTAAAATAAAGAATATAAAAAAAAAAATTATTGGCTAAGTCCCAGTTTAACTCGGTTGGGTCGATGTTCTGTCGACCGGGTCATGGGCAATTTTGACTGGACCCATTGTTAACCGGTTTGAAGCACCCACACCTGGCTTCGCTTCGGGTCGACCCGTCGGTCCAATCTAGGTCAAGAAGCCGTGAAGAAAATGCATTTCTGGCGCTGCGTTGGAGTAATATTTTGCACAAGCGCATCACTATTTAAAGGCTGCACAGCACTATTCACAAATGCAGATCAACGTTGCGTAGCACTATTCACAAATGTTGAGTCAGATAAACGCTCTATAGCACTATTCACAAATGCCGAGTAAAAATCCGATGCATTTTGCACAATTTTTAGTGCATAGTCAGATACACTCTGCGTAGCACTTCTATTTACAAATGCGGAGTAGAGATCCGACACTGTATTGGAGCGAGAGTTTGCACAATCTCCAGCGATAAACAGTACTCCAACGCAGCAGCATTGGAGAAGCTCTTGCAAACAAAAAACATTGTGCATTTATTATAGCTTCATTTATTTAGCTTTTCCTAGCAAATACTTAAAACTTGCTTCTCAAATGCCATTCACTTTTGTTCAATGCATCACCAATGGTAAAAACCTTATAAGCATGATTTTTTTTTTTTTTTGCTGAAATTCAAGAAGTACAACCTCTCAAAACAAATCAAAAGTATGGAGAGGTAATAAGCCGGAGTTTTATATATTTTTTAGGTGAATTTCCACTTTGCATGGCTCGGCGAAAATCTAATGTTCAAAGACAAAGTCAACACACAATGGAAATATATGCATTTACTTGTTGAAGTCGCTTCACCTTCACCGTCTCAGCTGATAGCTCGAATCTTATGTTCCAGTCCAAGGGCATGGATTATACTTTTTTGAACCTCATGGATCCTGCAGCTTGTCTTTGTTCGGTAGCGAGTTTAAACTTTGTTTATGCTTCTTTGCGAACGTTTTTCATTACATATTCCTTATCAGTACCTTTGTTTGAACAAGAAGTTTTCTTTTGAAGGACTCAAGAATATATTTTGGATGTTAACGAACATTGCACCTCAGTTTTGAAAATTCGTACATGAAACTTGAGCAACATTTTACCACAGCAAATGTTGAAAGACAAACTATATTGCCTCTCATAATTCTTACACTTTTATCCATGGAAATGTCTCCAAAACGAAAGGTAGGAGAAACCTTTCTTGGTTTAACTTTGAGAACCAAAAAATGTGGAGTGGATTAACTAATCGTGACGAGGCCTAGGACGTACTCCTAGTCCAGTCCTTATATTTGCCCCTAAAGTCTTCATATCTTCCACCTACAAAATTCACAAACAAATCATGCAAGGAAATTGCAACCACAATAACAATAACACAAAGGAAAAGAGATAACATAATGAGAGAAAGCATATAATTCAAATGTGGCTGCAAGGGCTGCAAAGCAGTCGAGCTAATTCGAGCAATGATATTATCGAGCTGTCCTAATTTTTTTTTAAGCTGCACAATGGAATTGACACTCTCACGATCGACTCAAGAGTACTCGCATTTATAGAGACTCAAAAAATGTTGGAGTTCAGCTCAATTTTTTTCGTAAGCAAAACCAGTTAAGTAATAACTTCAATAACGCAACCATCCCAACATATTAAATAATTCAAAGAAAAAAAAAATCCTCAGCCCAATCAATCTTTAAGATTGCTATAGTTCCATAACGAGATTAGCTTCAAAAATATGCTTCACATATTTTAAAACCAACCACTTAATTGGCATGAAAAATTTAAAAACATAAATCCCCAGCTTGAAGTATTTCAATTCATGCCATCTTTCACTTAAGTACAAATTGGCCGACCAAAGAAAAATCCTGTATTTATGGCATTGAGATTCTTCTCTCTTTTTTTTTTTTAATCAAGATTTCAGATTATTGCCTTGGATTTATGTGCTGATGTTATTGGTTGGAGATGAGATGAGACGGCGAATATCAGGTGGATAGAAAAAGCGGGTCACGACAGGTAATTATAACAGAATATGTGAAATCGTAAGTTATGCAATTATTATTGTTGTTAATTTTTTTGGTCGGTCAATTTCAGAGGACAATTATAGCCACTTAAATGTCCAATGATGAGAGTTCACTGCAACTCGAGCATATGGAGCAAACCAACACCAAATCCACGCTTCTGTCTACCTTGAAGTATCTCAATTCGAAGAGAATCTTTACGAACACAAACTATAGAACCTGTGGTTTGGTGTAGCTATAAGAGAAAGTATGCATTTTTATAACCTCGTAATCACATGAGTTTGCTTCATCTCGGATGTACCTATTTTAAGGATAAACCTTAACCATGCCTCAATTTTAACATGTCCAATATGCAAAGATGACAATATTATTGAACTTACTAATCTTCAAACAAATTTAAGCCGCTTTTTCCACTAAAGTCTCCAACATAGATCATCTCAGTCGTCTATTTTCTCTTTCACCGAGCAGCACAACTGGTAATTTCATACTAAAAACAACTAAAGGTTCGTTAGCTTGACCATCTCATACTAATCACATTTTATAAATAAGATAATGGATTCATATTCACTAAGGTTGGTTCTTTTCCCTCTTCCTTTTTTCCCCTTATGTCTTTTTATCCCTAAAAATCTAAAATCAGACATATGGAACCATTGATGTGACTACAAATCAAGATGATAATCGAATTCGAAATGCCAATAATCTAAGAACAACATAAACAATGAAGTTTCATAGCATAAGCATGCAAGTTTGTTGAAAAGGTATGTCTCAATCAATCAAATTCAAACACATAAAAGCCCAAAAAATCCCAAATTGAAATGTGATTATGCACATTCACACGCACAACAAAGCAAGCAATTTCACGGCAAACAGATCGGTAAAAAATTATCTTACGGAGTGGACGCCGGAATAAAGAAGGGATGCCGCGGCGGCGGAGGCAGCGGCGCCGACGAAGATGGAAGCGACGGCGAAGGCCTTGAAGGGCATGAGGGTCGAATCGCCGGCATAGCCCCTTTTGATTGCCGAGATGCCCAAACCTAATTGCGCGGAGCTGGCTGCTGCCCACCACCAGTAGCCTTCTACTGCAGTCCCGTTCACCACTCTACCTTCCTCTTTCTCCTCCATTTTACATTTTCGTGTTTTTCCACCATTTTACATGGTAATAAATAAATAATAAAACCTTTTTTTTTTAAATTATTATTTCTTTCCTTTGTTGGGCTCTCTTTTTCTTCGGGTAGATTAGACATGGCCACGGGTCGGCCCGACCCGCGAACCGACACCGGCCCAGACCGAACCGGCACGGGCACAGGCCGAGAATTGCGCGGGCCTATGAACCGGACCGTGCCCATGCGGTTTGGTCTCGGTTCTCAATTTTTTGTTTTTTGACCTGCCGGGCCGGGCCGGTTCAAATGAACCGGCCCATAAGAATTGTCGGGCCGGTTATGGGCCCAACAATTGAGACCAGCCGACCCGCTCGGCCGGCCGGGCCCGGACCCAGCACCTGACCATGTCTAGGGTAGATATGTTAACTGGGCTTTCCTGAGCTTGGCTCAATGCATTTATAAGAGGTTATTTTAGTTTTTTTCAGTGTTCTAGAAGTCGCTAGGCGCCCGCTAGGCGCTCGACCAGCGCCTAGCGCCTAGTCGGGGACTAGGTGGGGCCTAGAAATTATAATAAATATATTATTTTTTATTTATTTTTATAATTTCACTAATGAAATTA